CAAGTCTTCAAAGCACCTTAGATTTTATCTCATTCCTGGGCTTGAATACAATTATTTAGAAAATGTCTCCAACTATCTCATACTGAGGAATTTTAGAACCCTATAAAGAGTTAGTCCACTTATTTTTTAGACAACTATCAGATTGCAAGTCTCTTCATTACCAAAAATAGAACTGACTGCAGATGGAGTTAAACCATGTGAAACATTTCCTATCCCTGTCATGGAAATAACCAATCTGCTGCCATCACCCAAAACAATGATGGGTGTACTCATTTCCTACTAATGTTTCTACATGAATTTCTGGGGTATATTCTGCTATAACTTTATCAGAAAACCCTCAGAGAAAAAATTAGTAAATTACTATTCATTATGTTTTTAAAAAGTCTCCTTTAAACAATATATAGACCCCTCCAATCTCATTTATAATATGATTTAGAAAAAATGAATAATATTTTTTAAGTATTAAAAACTGTATTTAGAATATAAAATTTCAGGTACATTATAAAAATACTTTATATAAAAATGGGGAATTTAAAATCCTATATAATAAAAGGCTAATATGCAAATTTACATGTGGGCTTATTCTTACTTCTGACATTTTACAATTTGTCCTTTGTTGTGGTACTTAAATTACTGCAGCAGAAGGAAATGGCAGATAAACATATCAAATCAGCTGGAAATACTTAAAGTTACCTTAGTGTGAAACTAAAAAAAAAAAGCCACACAAACAAACAAACAAAAAAATTATTTCTTAACTCTAAACACTTGAGCCATAACCCAGGAGAAAAATATACCACCCCCTCAACTCTTAACATAATACCATCCTCCCATACTTCTACTCTATCTGTTCTCCTTTTGAAAAAACATACTCATTAATAAAAATATTTCTTTCCTTGATGCAGGGGTTAAGGGGAAAACATAATTCAAAAGAAACAAATACTTGCATGTTCTGTACTATTACAAAATAAGAGTATTTCTGTTGTGAATTTTTTTTACTGTTGAGAATAAAAAGTGTAAGATGTATACACTTATAGAAATATAAGCATTCAAGCTGTCATTCAGAGAGTACTTCTCCTTTGGTTTTTAAGCAATCTACCTATTCCTATGTAAGGAGACTTTTCTAAAAAGCCTTTGGATGTTCCTACGTTTGGATTACTCAAGAGTGGCAGAGTCTCCACCAGTCGATTCCACTTGATTTCCACTTGATTTGAGGAATATAGTCTATTCAGAAGGAATATAGTCTATTCAGAAGTAGGAGCTGCTTGCAGTTATATTTCTTTGGCATTTTTGTTGTTACAATTTTTAAAAAATTGATACAACTTCATGATGTATATGGGTGTGGGATTATACCTCTATTTCTCTATCTGAGTTAGCAGAGGCTCGGAGTTAAAGATTTATCAGAAGCGATTCATAGTTTTACCAACTTCCCGACCTTTATCCCATACCGTATTTGTCCCTTAATTAAAAGAATATTTAAAAGTTTAACCATAACACTAATTAACTAGGAAGATAGGATCATAAAACCTTGTACAATATTCGCCTTGTCTGCATAACAACTGTATCACCATTTATATATTATTTTTTATTAAATGGACACAAGCCTCGTCCTACTGGAACATAACGAGTTTCTGCCAGTTCTGTATTTTCTAAAGGATGGCCTTAATTTGTAAAGTATTTATTTTAATGCATATATGTGTACCATTAAAAGCCACTGTAACACAGGGGAAGCACACACGCTTTAGGAAACTGCCTGAGTCATTTTGCTATTATTGACCCAAATTTGTCCCTATATAGCTGCTTCAAAATGGTTCTGGTTTGGCTTTCTGCAATAATGTAAAACAAGCCTCCTTTGTTCATGACATGTAACACCCTTCAAATAATTGAAAATATAAGTTATGTTATGCCTTCTTTAATTTTATATTATCCAAAGTAAACAGACCCAACCCCTTTTTCTATTAATAGGACATGATTTTCACTCTTTCAAAGTGATTTTTGTCACTGTTCACCATCACCCACTGCCACAGCTAACGTCTCCTTCCAGGAACTGCTCCAGATACATACTGCACATGAATGAACGCTTTCACTCTCACACAATCCCTTGGGGCCACAGCATGCTCTCTCTCAGACAGAGAGAAGCTGAGTCAGAGTGAAGTGAGGTAAGCTGCCCAAGGTCACAGAGCTAGAAAGGGCAAACTTGAGCTTAAGCTCAGAGACTCTGGCTGCAGAGTCTGTGGTACCAACCACTATGAACTACTATTAAACCACCACACAAAATACTAATGTATTATTAAATATCGATTTTCAAAGTAAATAATATTAGCTATGCTTATTGGTTAAATAATACAACTTATTAATCAACTGTATAATAGGTAAATCGCTGGCATACTAAAGTGTAGTAATTTAAGAAGCAGCTTTATGTATGAAGATCTACACTTTATTTAAACAGTCAATAATATTTAATAGTAATTTACCATAAGTCGAGGTTTATTATTAACATAATTTCCACATTTTTCAGGGAGACAATATGTTAAAAATATAGTTGAATTACAAGCTGTTACAAACTAGCTCAAAAAATTTCCCCCTATGTTTTAGTGCCCTTTGCCTACTTTTCTCTTCAATAAATCTTGATGTCTAAAAAAATCCATTTACATTTTTAATATTCAAATGCTTCTTTATCCTATACATATACCCAATTTTCTCAATCTTCCTTCCCCCCAATGATCTCAAATGAGCAAAATGTTCTCTCTTTGAATAAAATTGTCTCTGCTGCCCTAAACATACTTTAATGTCCTAGTTTCATAATCTTTTATCTGCACATTCTCTTACCAGAAAAAGTTCAAAATTTCCAGGATGTTTAACTGTATTGAGAATGTATTGTGGCCCTAAAGTGACAGACTATGAAGACTGCTCACATGATTAAAAAAATACATTTGCCCACAAGATGCAACTCTTTCCTAAAATAAAATATGCTTGTTTCTACTATATGATGAAACATTTTCAATCTAACATCAACATTATTTAGAAACATTTAAGCAACCGATTAAATAAATTAGTTTATGTTTAGTGTAACCAAAAGTGTAAGTTGTAAAAACAGTTCAGCAACTAAGCCCTTTGTTCACACATAACTGACGTATTCTAATGTGATTACAATATACTTCTAAATTATCCTAGTTTATTACACATTTAACAATCTAAGAACATCTGTGAATGATCTAACCAATTACTTCAGATGAATTTTCCTTCAGATGGATTTTGACAGCTCATGTGAAACATTTGTAAATTCAAAATTTTCAACTGAATTGCTTTGTTTAGAAGTTAATATAGAAACGTGAATGATCTTTATTACCACCAAGATTATTTTTAAGTGTTTAAAGGATGACTAATATATAAATAATTTATTGTTACCTAAATCTATCATTATTTTATAATTCAAGCCACAGGAATGAGAAAAATTATTATCTATTTTTTATTTTATAAAGTCAACTTTAATAATATAAGTCAGTGTTTCCCAAACGTTTGACATATATGTACCCCTTCTATAATTTTCGTAACACTGAGTACCCCTCATACTCAAGAGAACATAGAATTAGGCGCAGCCAAGCACAGTGCAGTGCATATCCCCACCAAACTCTGGTGCAATGCGTATCCCCCCCCCCCAACTCTTCCCGTACCCCTGGGGGCACGCGTACCACACTTTGGGAAACACTGAATAGTCATAGATTTAAAGGTTAGCGACAAGCTACTCAAATAATGTTGTTTTTTAATTCTGTGGTAGAAAAACAGTTGAATGAAGTCCTGGAATGTAATTTCTAGTACCAGAAGGTCAAAGTCTATAGAACTCTGCGATTCATGATTCACTGGATTCATAAACTTGGCCTAGTGGACTGTTTTGAGGTCTAGGGTGGACGTGGCTTCAGCGTAGAGCGCACAGTCTGGCCCCAGAGATAGGACCTTGACAGTTCTACCTCTAACTGTGCTTACACCTTCACTGATAGATAACTCAGTACTCAGACTAGGCTGACGTGTGGTGGGCAACTCAATACATCATGGTCAAACACAATGAACCAATCACCGTATCTAATGCTTCAGTTACTCTTTCATTACAAAATCCACTCCACCTTGACAATCTCCCAGGTAGCCTGGGCTTTATTTCCGCCTTTCTGCTTATAAAATAGTCTTCACTTAACATTGGTGCACACGGTCTAGCCTTACAGTGGCCTTTTTTCAGCTTCTGTCCTCCAACTTCATAGCCATCTTTTCTCAACTAAGGTTTAGTTGAAAGCCATTCTAATGATATAATTATGTATTGTAAAGTAAATACTATCTCTATTAATACTTCTTCCTACTTCCTGCTCATCACCCACCTTCTGATTTAAAAATACCTTTCTGAAGGATATTTTAATCTTTCATGCTAACTCCCACAGTCATGAATGTGTTAAGTACTGTAACTCTCTGAATACAATGTTTGTCTAACAGAAAGCAAAGTTCAATGAAAGTTTATTCTTTTTCTAACTTTGGTGAATTTCACATTGTAAAAGTTCTATTTAGAATAAATAAAGTTAGTATGACCACCATCTTTACAAAATCACCAGTATAGTCTTTAGTTGAACATTAACAGAATGCTATAGCAATAACAAATTCTATATATTTGCAATCACCACCTCATTTAATTCTCCTAATAATTTTATTCCCATAGTCACAGAAGTTACTTCATTAAGGTTACTCCCATTGCCTGGAAAGCCAATATTCACACTCCGGACTGTCTCCAAAGACTGTGGTCACTGAATTAAGTCATAGTATCATAAGTATACTTCAATAGTGACTTTACCAGCCAGAATAGACTGAAACACCCAATTCTGCTTTCTGAACACAAAGTGTTGTAGCTTTATTTTTATACCTATAATGTGTGACTAACATATAGAATAGAATAGGTTTAGAGAAAGGCATTCAACCATCTTTATTTATCAACTGGAAAAATAAAATGATTTCATACAACTTACCATTTAACATCAACAGATTGTCAGTTCCTGGATGCGGATAGCTCAATCGACCTTTAAAAAGACAGGAAAGTATGAACATTATTGAGGTATTTGCAAATTAAAAAAAAAGAAAGGGGCATAAGGGAAAAATTATTTAACACAGCATATTTCTTAAGGACTAAAAAGATAATGTTTAACTCAAAGTACATTAACTAAAATGATCCTTGAAAGTTGAAAACGAAAATAGTTAACCTACTTCCTAGATCATAAAGCACAATGAGATTTGGAAAAAAATCCTTATAGAACAAAATCTATTTATTTTGAAATGCAAAAACAATGTAGACATTCTGGTCTTTCAAACTTAATAGAAGATGTGATAATTTCTTAATATTACAATGTAATTTTATTTTTCTAAAAATAAAATTACATTGTAATATTAAAATTTTTATTTTTCTAAAAATAAAATTTGAAAAAAGATAATTTATATTTCTAAATAAAAAATCTGAATATTAAAATAATTAACAGTAAAAAGTCATGATAACTTGCCATTTAATTCAATATCATTTTATATAGTTGTTTTTAAAGAAGTTTAATGAAAATGTCTTAGAAGTATTATTACAGGTATTGGAAATCTAACTTGTTTTAAGTTTAAAGATGATATAAAAATAAAAATATAAAAAATGAAAATAGTAAGGCTTAAGAGCATAATAGCATAGTATATTTCTTTTGAGTCATTCTTCACTTAGGAGTTTTGCATTTGCACTAAATGCAGAAAGGACAACAGTATATATTAAAAAAAAAAAAAGTATACACGAACATACTGTAGTTTATCCAGCACTTTTACAATTTAGTTTGTTTGGTGAAATGCCAACAGTGAGGATAATCACTGTTTTTAGTTCATTAAAATATAGGGCTTTTCTCTAACACTTAAATCTCTGATAGACTGTGTAAGAGATACATTAAAATCCATTTAGAAATCTGCTAAAAATGAAATGTCTGTGAGATTACATTTTAGCAACTTTCAGCACAGTCCCTTTAAAAAAAACATCACTGGGACCTGGAGAGCATTATGCTGAGCGAAATAAGCCAGTTAGAGAAAGACAAGCATTACATGATCCATCATATGTGGAATGTAAAGAACAAAATTAACTGATGAACAAAATAGATCCAGAGACATGGAAGCATGGAACAAACTGCTGAATCTGAGGAAAGGAGGGTGTGGGTTGGGGGAAAGAGATCAAAGAACTTGTGTGTATTTATGTCTAACCGATGGACACAGACAATAGGGTGGTGAAGGCCTGGAGTAGAGGGTGGGGGCAGGCTAGAAGGGGTCAATGGAGGAAAAAGAGGACATACATAATTCAACAATAAAGATTTAATAAACAAACAAACAAACAAATAAATAAACAAATAAGGAAAAAAGACATTATAACAAATAACGTATTGCCACCAGAAGGGTGACCAATAAATATCTGAAGGGAGTTGACGTGATTAGCAAGGAGTACAGATAAACTGCATTACCTTCACTACCCCTGCAAACACTCTACATTTCTGCGTCCTTTATTCTGTCAAAATATTCCATACAAGACAAATCGTAAAGGTGTCACTCTAACAGCATAGAAATGTGTCTATTGTTGTGATAGCTTAGTATGTACAGACAGCAGAGCTTTCCTAACAGGATTCCAATAGCATGGAACATTACCTTGAAGTATCAGCTTATTTTGGAAATACGCCTATTTTTAAACATCTTGTTGCAGATGAGTAAAACTACAAAAAAATTACGTTATTTCTGACTTGAGAATGAATATCAATATGAAAGTGGCAACCTGTGTTGCTGTTCTGTATAACAGGTTCATTAAGTCTTGCACACTGAAAGTGTGTAGGAGGCTGAGAATACAAATATGCAAAATATACAGTCTTCCCTTATGTGCTTATAATGTAATAGTGAAGACGGACACAAATGTACAATTTCAATAAAATCTGCCAAATGTGAAAAGAGTTATGCACAGTATCTCATATAATGAACAGCTAATATGCAAATGGTCATCATGCCCTCACGCCAGGGCCAGGGGACCTGAGGCAGCACCCACCACCCGGTGGGGCTTAACTGGGGACCTGAGGCTGCACCCCTTATGCCCCCTCACCCCCACCGGTGGGGCTTGACTGGGGTGGGGCCAGCTGGGTCTGGGTCTCACACAACTTCAAGGTGCACACAGGTGGGCGGGGACTTGACTCTGGGTCCCGCGAGGGATTTTCATGTACATTTTACTAATTTTCTTTCATCTTTGACAGTTCTATTATAAAGAAAGGGCAAATAGCAATATTAAAATATTTCCTCTAATTTAAATTCCCTATTAATGTGTATGAATTTCGTGCACCAGACCACTAATACTATATAAAATCCCCCACATAGGTATTTAACCAAGTCCAGGGATTCAAGCAAAACTCCTTGGAATAAGTAAATTGAATGAAGCCTTAACCTTGTTCCATTAAAAAAACAACAACAAAAAAACCCCCACCAAAAAACAAAACAAAAACAAGAACCAAAAATCCAAACAAAAGACAATACTAACTTTCAACTGCCACATAATTACCACTGAACAGATTCATTGTTCATTATCCCAAGACACAGATAAGATATTTTCATTGCTAATAGTTTTTGACTTCTTGGCTCTGAAGGGACTTAAAAGGCACACATGTGGAAAGTTCAAAAGACAGCTATCTATTTACAAATGGATAGATACTTGTGTATATGTTCTCAAACATAGATCTCAAAGCAGGAAAATCAACATAATACTCCAAAATGAAAGAAAGAAATTTAGACTATGTTAAAATTATACAATTACTTTTTCTTTACTTCAGTAAAACTACATCTTTACAAGTTAACTTTTACAGTTACATTTTACCTAGGATCATTTCAAATTACTTTCACCAATAACTTGCCAACTGATAATAACTAACATTGAGGGCTTGTGCCAGAAGCTTTTCTAAGTTCTTCACAAGCAGGGATTTAGCTCTCACAACAATCTATGAGTTAGGTGTTACGATCTTCCCACTGAAGATGAAGACACTGTCCCACAAAAGATGAAATCACTTGCCCAAGCTACACCTGTCAGGTAGCTCTGGCAGGACTCCAACCCTGACAACTTGGCTCACACTCTTAATCACTATCTTAGAATGATTTCCTAGGTGGTGATGTAATTCAAAAGAAGGTGTATATGCTTAGCTATAGGAATAATTCAGCCATTAAAAGAAGTCACAGAATTGTCTATAGTATATTAGATAACATACTTCAATATAGGTAAAAATACATTGCTTCTCCCTATTATCCAAAAGCCGGTGGTGCAGACCAGTAAATTGTACACCAACACCTGTTCCTGTGAATAGCAGGACCCCCAAATGCCTAGAGTAAAAATCTACGTTTCTCAGCTGTCCTTGAAGTTACATGTGTCCATGTATGTAAAATCTGGCCAATGAGATGTAAAGCAGAATTGGAATGAATAGTTTCAGGGAAGATATTCCCTTTCCTTCACTTTTTCCTGCTTGCTGGAAAGATGCGATGGCTAAACTAAAACAGCCACATTGTATCATGAGGCAGTAGCTGGGTGTTATGGATAACAGAATCAGACAGAAGGTGCCTAGATCCATGAAAATCACCACAACACTTCTAGGAGTCCTATGTTTATGTAAGAGAAACAAACTTCTATTTTATTTAAGCCATTTAAGAGGTTTTTGTTTGTGTGGTTTTTTTTGTTGTTGTTGTTATTCCAGAAGAACCTAATTTTAAAATAGTCTTCTAGTAATAAATTTGGTCAAATTGCTTATTATTGTGAAAATATCATAATGTATAATTGTATAATAGTTTTAACAAAACTATAAATAATATATTACCCCTTGACACTTCTTTTACATTGATATTGTGAAATTTAAAATAAGTAATTTTGAAAAAATAAGTATTTATTTTTAGGTGTCAGTGAATAGGACCTACAGTATCTTAAAATTATCTTATTAGTCTACTTAATAGTAATGTGTATAATACATATTCATGATATAATTCATGTTAACTATTTTTAGATGTATATTTGAGCAACAAAAACACAGAAATTGACAAATGACTGCATATAAGTTATCACATATAGACAAGTTGTCAGTTACTAAAATTTTAACAAAGCATTTAAAAAATATATTTAAGTCAGGCCATTTAGAGAATGAGTTCTTTCTCTAAAACAATTGCAATCATTTTTTTTTAATAGTGATGATAAAATAATAAAATTTCTTATAGCACTTTTTTGGATTTAAACCTTTTAAAATTGTAGAACTGTGAACTAAAAAGAATGAAAATGAAGCCAAACACTTCCCTAACATCATATATAGCAAAGAGGTAATATGCAAATTGACCATCACTCCAACACACAAGATGGCCGCCCCCATGTGGTCAAAGATGGCCACACCCATGTGGACAGAAGATGGCCACGACAAGATGGCTGGCAGGGGAGGGCAGTTGTGGGCAATTGGGTCAGCAGGGAAGGGCAGGTGGGAGGGACCAGGCTGGCAAGGGAGGGAAGTCAAGGGTAACTGGGCCACAGAGGAGGGCAGTTAGGGGAGACCATGCTGGCCAAGGAGGGCAGATGTGGGAGACCAGGCCTGCAGGGGAAGACAGTTGGGGGAAACCAGGCCTGCATGGGAGGGCAATGGGGGCGAACAAGCTGGCAGGGGAGGGCAGTTAGGGGTGACAGGACAAGCAGGGGAGGGCAGTTGGGGGTGACCAGGCCTGCAGGGGAGGGCAGTTGGGCGGGACAAGGCCTTCAGGAGAAGGCAGTTAGGGGTGACCAGGCAGGCAGGGGAGGGCAGTTAGGGGCAATTGGGCCGGCAGATGGGAGCAGTTAGGAATCAATCCGGCTGGCAGGGGAGTGGTTAGGGAAAATCAGGCAGGCAAGTGGTTGGAAGCCAGCAGTCCTGTATTGCAAGAGGGATGTCTGACTGCCCATTAGGCTCGACCCCACTGGTGGGATTGGGCCTAAACGGGCAGTCGGACATCCCTTGAGGGGTCCCAAATTGGAAAGGGTGTAAGC